TTTATAATGGCTTTTGCTAAAATTACAAAATCAAAAGTTATCAAAACAAATTTTGTGGGACTGGGAAATATTATTTTTTATAATAATTTATTTTCTTTCTTTTTAGTGTTGTCTGTATAAAATTTTGCAATAGATATTTAAAAATAATTCAACGATATTGATAGATTGATGCAGACACATGCATATATGTATGTACATACATACGAACTCCAATTAATTTCATTTAAAGAAAATACGTGTCTCCCATTTCCGCTATAGCGTATGTAGTGCATATTTTTAGGCGCAATATTTTACCACTTTCGGCAGGGCGACATCTACTTCTAGAGTCTAATGTTCTTCGAGGTTGATTTCTAAACTTGATGTCTAAACCCTTTATAGCAAAGGTTTTATAGATATAAATGCTATCGGGACACACAACCATAGTAAGTTGATAAAAGCGTTGTAAAAAATAGTGCTAGCAAGTCAAGATTCCTTGTGATTTAAGGAATGGTGTATCGTAGGTATGTATGTGCATAGGTACATGTATATATGCACATATTTTTGGCTCAACATATCGGCTCATTTGTACATACAAACATTTAAGACAATTTCAGAGTGTCTGAAATATAAAACACCTAAACGTACTGGAAATGTCGCAGATTTCAAAATTTGAGTATTTAAAAAGAATATATTTAACATGTTAATGGGTAGTTTTTCAGATTTAAAATTTTTTTTAAAATTACCGGAGGTGGAACATAAATTTAAAACACTCCATAATTAAATAAAATTAATAAATATTTTAAAGACGTATGCGTCTAACATTTTTCGGGGAGAAGTGGGTTAGCTTCCCTGCTTTAAGAATAAATATCACCCTGATCTCCTTCAAGCATTGGGTACAAACCCATCGTAGAGATATTCACTAGCTGGGATAAAGCGCTTTCACTGGAGCGTTGTAACTACTTCTTTCTAAAAGCGCAAGTTTACATTTGTGGAACACACCAGTTAAATTCCTCACACTGTTTCATTATACCCGTATTCTTTGATACACAAAACGTATGTATGTAAATTTCAACTTAAACAATTTATGTAAGGTAGTACAATAAATTATAATGCGGTGGACATAAGATTTTAATGACATTCGCCGTATTATGTTTGGTGGTGAATATTTGTGAAACTAGCCCCAAAAGAGTTATGAGTACGGAATTCGAGGTAAATTCAAAGTTATTACCGAACTTCTTTGGAAATTTACAAGCGTTTTCATGTGTGTATGTGCAACTAAGTACCATTTCTTATAATTTATGCAGCATTTATCCATATAGTAAGTATGTTTGTAAATTAACACGCCCATATGTGTACGTATACGAATGAGCTGCATAAGAACTCCTAATTCCTACTAAGAAACCTTATTCCACTACGATACATAAATTAATAGTTTTTTGGCACTGGGCAAATGAGGAAAATGTGTCCTATGGGAAACATTAAAATTAGTCAAGTTATGTGTTGAAATACTTGCCGAAGTGCAAACATGAAAATTGTTAAATTTTTGGTGTAGAAAATATGGTGAAAAGGGTTAAAATCTAACAATCTCGCTGTGAGTGTGACTAATTATTTGATTTATGTTGATTATAAAATTATCTAAGAATGGACGTTGGGGCAAGTTAGTATGTTCGAACTTACCTATTTGCGAGATTGTATGTACTTATGTATATATGCGTGC